TTTCACCATGTTGGCCAGGATGGTCTCGATCTCTTGACCTCGTGATCCACCCGCCTCGGCCTCCCAAAGTGCTGGGATTACAGGCGTGAGCCACCGCGCCCGGCTGGCATTTTCATCTTAATCCCTTGATATAGTGATTAGTTCTTTATTAGCTACATAAAAAGAGAAGGCTACTAGAATGGTTAACCCACATGGCAGATTGTCCATTTCTGAATGCTTAGCCTTTGAAATTTGTTCTGCGCATGATGTGTTGCCATTTCAGGTTTGTGGTTGAGTTTGGTGTGCAAAAAATACCCTACAGTTCTATTGCCTGAGGGTACTAGGGGGCTCTCAGACATTGGCAGAAAGTCAGCATATCCACAGAGTAGCATATCCCCACTCTTTGGCCAGTGGCTTCCACATTAGCTGTGCTTCAACCTTGTTCAAGATGAGCCACATGCAGATAATCAAGTTGACTGAGCACAGATTGGAGTTGTGCTACTTAGGAGCCAGAGGCCTGTTTGCTGGCCTGAAGAATCCCCTTAAACCTCTGCAGGAGGGCTTGGGCTGCCGATTCCACTCCAGCTTCTACCTGGCTCTTTGTGGTGGCTGTCAACCTGATTGGTTTCTTTGTCAGGCTCTTCAGCTTCAGAATGGAGACAAGAACTGCCTGGTTGCTCGCTCGAAGTGCTTCCTAAAGATGGGAGACTTGGAGAGATCCCTGAAAGATGCTGAAGCTTCGCTCCAGAGTGACCCAACTTTCTGTAAGGTGACTGCATGAGGGGGAGGGCTCGATCTTGCTTTCACCACCACCATTGCCTGCAGCAGCTTCTGGTTGCACGTAGCTGAAGAACCAGCCAGACCACCTACTGTTTGATGCCATTTTCTCATCCTAGGTCATTGCCTACGTCCCTGCCCCCTGTTTTCCAGCCTTGACCCTCAACCCAGGACCCTTCTGTTCCCCCACATTTGAGTCCTGTAAGGCCTTATCTGTTCACATTGATTTGACTTCCTCCCATTCCAGGGGATTTTACAAAAGGCAGAGACACTATACACCATGGGAGACTTTGAGTTTGCCTTGGTATTCTATCATCGAGGCTACAAGCTGAGGCCTGATCGGGAATTCAAAGTTGGCATTCAGAAAGCCCAGGAAGCCATCAACAACTCAGTGGGAAGTAAGTGACCACAGGGCCTATGCCCTTATTTAGAAAGGTTTTTGGAATCCTTAGGTTGAGGGGAAGGCTGAGGTAGAGCGAGTGAGCAGCCACCACCAGGCCCACAGGGAGTCCCACACCTGGATTTGGCTGCTGCAGTGTTGAGGATTAGGAACTATCCACTGGGAGGACCAGGCCCTGACACACTGCACACTGATCTCTGAGCACTGCAGCCTTGGGTTTTCCTAAAGGCCAGATGAGAGGGGCTGTTTCAAAATAGGCCTGTCTTTAGCCTGGTGTCAAAAGCTAGAACACGGTCCTGAGCCCACCCTTCCATAGTCCCTGGCTTCCTCCCTCACCAAACGTATACCAAGAGCTGGCCTTAGCCATCAGCAATATGGCAGGGGGATAAGGGAGGCAAATGAGAGCAAGTCAGAGCTTGCTCTGTGGGTGGCAGAGCCTGGAAATGGACCGAGTCTCTCCTGCACCCTTGGCCTCCCTTTGTTTGGAAATCTGCCTAACCTTGGGCTACCTGGGGCTGTTATCTCCAAGGAGTTATACCAAACAGCCTGCATCATTTGCCTGCTAGGCTGGCTTAGGGCCAGCTTTGCCACAGCCTCCACCATCCCCCTGCCAAAGGCAGCCATCTCCACATAAAGATATGTGATAGGTCATGCCTGAGGGGGCTGGCCTACCTGAGCTCCAGCTTCTTTCCTTGCAGGTCCTTCTTCCATTAAGCTGGAGAACAAAGGGGACCTCTCCTTCTTAAGCAAGCAGGCTGAGGTAAGGGCCCTCGTTCTGTGGCTGTATCCCTTTAAGGGAAGAGGCTGTGTGTGCCTGAGAAGGGGTCTTGGGAGTCTGGCTGCAACCCAACCAGGCATACTCCATGGTTCTTAGCCCACAGAAAAGTCCTGGAGTTGGAGGAATCTGGGATCATAGACGCTGGGACCATGGCTGGATACGCTGTGCTCTTTGCTGAAGCTCTGTTGGGTATTGCTCCATTTTCTCAGAATATGAAAGCCCAGCAGAAGCCTCAGCCCATGAAACACCTCTTACGCCCCACCAAGGGAGAGTCCAAGCGGAAGGGCTCACTCAAGAGTGAGAAGATTGTCCGCCAGCTTCTGGGGGAGCTCTACGTGGACAAAGAGTACTTGGAGAAGCTCCTATTGGATGAAGGTTTTGGACATTTTGTTGGCATGGGGCCTTGGGGGAAAGGAAACCTGGGCGGATGCTGAATGCATGAGCCGAAGGCAGAATCTGTCATGTAATATTAGCTGACATATACCTATGGACAGGTTTTATTAGCATTCTCATTTTACAGATAAGGAAACTGAGGCGCAGACCAATGGAAACTAAGGTCACATATAGGTAGGCAATGACATGGCTTATGTTTGAATCCAGGAAGTCCAATTTTAGAGCAGTGGTCCTAAGTGCTTATGGTACCCTGGGAGGGAACAACAGAGATTTGGTCTCCTTTCCACCATAGACCCTGAAGAGGCATCCCCTTTGCCTTCAATCTGTACAATGGGCAAAGGAATCCAGCGACAGGTGCTTGAATACGAGGATATTCTAGAATGTTCTGAAATATCATCTAGTCCAAGTTCTCCTTTCATAGATAAGGAAATAGAGACCTTGATTGGGGAGGAACTTTTACAAGGCGACGAACAAGTTCATGGTGGAGTTAACACCAGAGCCCAGGCCTCTGACCTCCAGTCCAGTGTTCTTTTTTTTTTTTTTTTTTTTTTAAGACAGAGTCTTGCTTTGTCGCCTAGGCTGGAGTGCAGTGGCATGAACTCGGCTCACTGCAACCTCTGCCTCCTGGGCTAAAGCAATTCTCCTGCCTCAGCCTCCTTAGTAGCTGAGATTGCAGGTGCCCACCGCCACACCCAGCTAATTTTTTGTATTTTTAGTAGAGATGGCGGTTTCACCATATTGGCCAGGCTGGTTTCAAACTCCTGACCTTGTAATCTGCCTGCCTTGGCCTCCCAAAGTGCTGGGATTACAGGCGTGAGCCACCACGCCCAGCCTAATTTTTTGTATTTTAAGTAGAGATGAGGTTTTACCATGTTGTCCAGGCTGGTTTTGAACTCCAGACCTCAAGTGATCCACTCACCTCGGCCCTCTAAAGTGCTGGGATTACAGGCATGAGCCATTGCACCTGGCCAGTCTAATGCTTCTTTTACCGTACTGCTGCCAGTGACAGGATGCAGGACAGAGCCAAGGTTAATGTCTCTCATAAACATGGGGATCATAGTATTGTCATTAGCTGATAAGCCTGAGCAAGGTCACCTGTGAATCAAATGCCTCTTCTCTAGAATTGGCTTCCCAAGGTCATGTGTGGGGATCCCTGCAGGGGGTGACACAGGAACAGCTTCACTGCTGGCACATCTCTTTGGCAACAGGCCTTAATGCCTCCTATTTTCCAGAGGACCTGCCACAGAAGAAAAGGGTGGCTTGATATGACCCCAAGTGGCCTTGGAGCTTTGCTGCTGGCTGTAACCTCTGGCCAAGCAGTGGACAGGACTTGGGCACCACCCCCTCCAGCTCCCCACATGCACGGGCCCACTGGGTACCTGGGAAATCACTGGGCACTGGCAGCCTGGGCCAGATCATGCATTTAGACTCAGTGTTCTCTGAGGACACAGCTTGAACCGGGGAAGCCCCGAGGCTTCTCAGCGAGCCGTCCATCAGCTGCCCCTTCTGGCTAGCTCCTCCGATCTTGCCATAAGGGGCCCATCCCATGGAATTGCATGAGAGTGGGGCTCTGGCTGCATCCTGGCCTGGATAAACCCACTCTGCCACCATGCGCACTCACATTCCTCTCCGTTTCAACAACTCCTGGCAGAGCTCTTCACAGAGGGCCCTGCAGCAGCTACCGGGAGGCAACAGGAGGCATCTCCCCTAGAGGCCTGTTCTCCTTGACGCCTCCTCACACTCCTTCCCCACAGACCTGATCAAAGGCACCATGAAGGGCGGCCTGACTGTAGAGGACCTCATCATGACTGGCATCAACTACCTGGATACTCACAGCAATTTCTGGAGGCAGCAGAAGCCGATCTACGCCAGGGAGCGGGACCGGAAGTTGATGCAACAGAAATGGCCGCGGGACCACAAACGCAATCCCTCACAGACAGTCCATTACATCCTCAAGAGCCTGGAGGACATTGACTTGTGTGGGTGTTGTTCTCAGAGGGTGGGGCAGGTGCCTCAGTGCCCTATCAGGTGGGGAAGGAGCAACATAGTAGCCTGAGCCCCTGGTCTCTCTGACCTGCAGATGGTGTCTGCAGGGAGAGGAGTTACCCCGTCAGTGAAGAGGAGGCTGCCCTGGCCTCCACAGCACCCCTTTCCTTTCCCAGTGCTCACAAGCGGCAGTGCCGAGGGGAGTCTTCAGAAAGCTGAGAAAGTGCTGAAGAAGGTACTGGAATGGAACAAAGAAGAGGTATCCAACAAGGATGAACTGGTTGGAAACTTGTACAGCTGCATAGGCAATGCCCAGATTGAGCTGGGGCAGATGGCAGCAGCCCTGCAGAGCCACAGAAAGGACCTGGAGATCGCCAAGGAATAGTGAGTGCCCTGGGGCAGGCCACTGCCATGAGCCTACAGAGGAGAGCTGCTGGGGCTATCCGAGGCCCTTGCCAGGGCTGCTGGTGGCTTGACTCCCATTTTCTGCCCTGCATGCCTGGTTAGAGTCTCCTGGAGGTGGGGACCACGTGCCCAGGACTGAGGGTGGGGGCCCCTAGACTGTTAGCTTTCTTGATGCAAAAAGGAGGGTAGTGGCTCAAAATTCCAAAAAGCCACCCAGTGGTCTGGCTCTTAGGTTATGTTTATATTCTTTACGTCATTTTTTTTTTTTCCTTTTTTTTTTTTTTTTTTTTTGGTCTGGTATACTCCCTCAATAGTTCTTGGTGTTACATCATCTTAATAAGCACACGTGAAGCCCCAGACTTGCCAGATGCTGCTAGTGTGGGAACACAGTAATGACCAGACACAAGGGTCATTTCCCTGCAGAGGTCAAGCACAAAGAGACATAGCTAATTCATTGCAATTGTGATAAATTCCATGAAAGAAAAGTACAGAATCCAGTGTGATGAGAAATATATTCCAGGAAGACTTGATGACACTGGGGACACACAGGGCCTGGTGACTGGAAAGGTCCTGAGACTGAGGGGTACTTAAGCTGGAGAGCAAGCATATTGCCAGGGAGAGTGGCCAAGTGGAGGCTGAAGGAAGTGGGCATTGGGTCGGTTCAAGCATGGTCTTGTGAACCAGTGCAGACCCAGGCTGTGGAACTTGCGCCACCCAGCTGTGGGACCTGGGACAAGTCATTTTAGCTCCCTCAGCCTCAGGGTCTCCTCCTCTGTTAGCTGGGCACCCTGTAGGGTGGCAGGGAGGAAGATGCAGAAGTACATGTGCAGAGCTTAGGACAGTACCTGATATCCACAATAGTAGTAACACCAGCTCTTTAGAAATGAGCTCTTCTCAAGACTTGCTGGCTTCCACCCGGAGGTTCCATCACTTTCTCTGCATCCTGGTTCTACCTTTGGGAGTCATTCTTGACTTCCTCCTGGCTGGTTTCTAATCATCTCACCAGTCTTGAACCTCATTGGTCTCCCATCATTTCATTTGCCCTCAGTGCCCAGCTGTCAGCCAACCTGACTCCTGCTGCTTCCCCTGCTTCTGCTGTTTCTCTCCAGCTCCTCCCACAAATCTCCAGAGACACAGGCTGTGAACTCTCCCTCCCCTGCTCACAAGTAGGCCAGGGCCCCTCACTGCCTGCAGGTTAAAGGTTGAGCCCCTTTTCTTGGCCCTCAGGCCCTCTCTGAACCCACCCTTGCCCTCTTATAGCAATCTTCCCTTGGGGTCAAACGTTCCTGAACATTCCTGTCTCCTGCCGTTTCCTCTTCAGTTATCAAGCCCCATATGCTTTCCATTTTCAGCTCATTTCTCACCTGCCTCCACTGGCAGGAATATCCCATATTGGCCATCCCATATTAGAAAAAAACAGCTTTAGGGCCAGACCTGTCTTTGATCCCTGGCTCTGCCACTTAGCATCTATGTGGATTTGATTAAGTTGCTCCTCTCCTCAGTTTCCTCATCTCTAATAAAGATATAATAATGCTAACCTACAGGGATTGTGGGGATTAGATATGATGTATATATATGGTACCTTGGATCTAACCATCTCCCTTGCACAAATGACTTAGGAATCTTTACTTCTCGCCAGACCTCTCTCCTGAGCCTCAGACCTCAGTGTCCAGCAGATTCTAAGACATTTCCATCTGGATGTCCCACAGGAATCCTAAACTTAACATACCCAAATCAGAATCCCGTATCTTCCTCCCAAACTTACTACTCAAGGGTTCCCCATCCTCAAGGATGGCACTGTTGGCTACTCAGTCCCCAAGCCAGAAGCCCAGGAGGCTTCCCAGACACCTCCCTCCACTCACTGTTTTTGCCATGTTGCCCAGGTTGGCCTGGATGACAGGCATGAACCCCCGTGTCTGGCCCCCTCACTGTTCACTCCCAGGGCCGGCCACGTCCTGTCCCATCTGCTTTCTCTGTTTCCCTCCCACAACTCAGTCCAGGCTCACCTCACTTCTTGCCTGTTTCCTCTGACCTGGGCTTCCTGCAGCTCAGCTGGCCTTTCTCTGAAAAGCAACTCCTGTGGTTGGGATGAAGTTTCAATGCCCTGCTCAACACAGGTTGCCCTTCTTCCCCTGACTTCTGGCCTCTCTTGACTTGGCTTTCTCGAGGCCCCCAGGCATTCTGGGCCCCAGCCAGTGCAGAGCTCTATGCATATCCTCCAGCCCCAGGAATGCCTCCCACCCATTCTTCCACATTTCAGTAAAGGTTGAAAAGCTTGCCTCCTAGGCTCAAACAGTCTTCCTGCCTCAGCCTCCTGCATAGCTGGGAATACAGGCATGAGCCACTGTGCCTTTGTTTGTTTTTACACAAGTACTATAATGTCAGGCTCGAAGGCTTGATCCGGAACTGGGTGGGTACTGAGAGCAAAACCTGAACGTTGTCCCCGCAATCCACTTCCCACCACTTCCCAAGATGATCTTTTTGGAATCATCTCTGGCCTTTTTTCAGTGTATTTACCTGCATACTCATGTACATATGTCGGATTTTTAAAACAAAAGCAGTTCCTTGCTATGTTCTTCCTTTTTTAAAAAAAAAAAATGCGTCTTGCTCTCAAAAATAAACAAAGGCCAGGCACAGTGGCTCACACCTATAGTCACAGCACTTTGGGAGGCTTAGGCAGGATTGCCTGAGACCAGGTATTTGAGACCAGCCTGGGCAAATTAGCCAGGTGTAGTTTCTCGAGCTTGTAGACCTAGTTACTCAGGAGGCTGAGGCAGGAGGATCTGTTGAGCCCAAGAGTTTAAGGCTGCAGTGAGCTATGGAGGCCAGGAGTTTGAGACCAGCCTAGGCAACATGGCGAAACCCTGTCTCTATTAAAAATACAAAAATTAGCTGGGCATGGTAGCACGTGCCTGTAGTCCCTGCTACTCAGTGGCTGAGGCATAGGAGTCACTTGAACCCCCGAGGTGGAGTTTGCAGTGACCCAGGATCATGCCACTACACTCCAACCTGGGCAACACAGTGAGACTCTATCTCAAAAAAAGAAGACAAACCCAAACACACACACACACACACACACACACACACACACACACACACTCTCTCTCTCTCTCTCTCTCTCTCTCTCTCTCTCTCTGCCTTTCTTAGAGCACTGATAACATTTAGATTATTTTTTTTGGCTGGGCATGGTGGCTCATGTCTGTAATCCCAGCACTTTGGGAGGCTGAGGTGGGTAGATCATCTGAGGTCAGGAGTTCGAGACCAGCCTTTCCAACATGGTGAAACCTTGTCTCTACTAAAAATACAAAAATTAGCTGGGCGTGGCAGCATGTGCCTGTAATCCCAGCTACTTAGGGGGATAAGGCAGGAGAGCTGCTTGAACCCAGGAGGCGGAGGTTGCAGTGAGCTGAGATCATGCCACTGCACTCCAGCCTGGGCAACAGAGCGAGACTCTATCTAAAAAAAAAAAAAAATTTAGATTATTGTTAATGCTTCGTTTTATACACTATGCTTTAATGACTGTTTTTGTCACATTGTCTTCTTGAGGTAGATTCCTAAAAGCGCAATTGGTGGCTCAAAGGGACATCTTTGCAAGCTGTTGACTGATTACCCTCCAGAAAAGTCCTGATAATGTTCACTCTTGGCCCTAAGGCGCCGGAGAACCTATGTGCCATATTCTTGCCAGTCTGGGCCTTGTCCCTCCAACTGAAACCCTGAGGTTCTGAGGCCAGGGCCCCTGTCTTTGCCTTCCTTCCTATGTCCACAGTGCCTAGAACAGCTGATTTCTAGTAAATGGCTTGTTTCGCTTCTTCCCGACAGTGACCTTCCTGATGCAAAATCGAGAGCCCTTGACAACATTGGCAGAGTTTTTGCCAGAGTTGGGAAATTCCAGCAAGCCATTGACACGTGAGTGATCAAGAATTGCCTCTTCCCCACCTCTGCCGTTAGAACTTCTCACCCTGGCCGGGCGTGGTGGCTCAAGCCTGTAATCCCAGCACTTTGGGAGGCCGAGGCGGGTGGATCACGAGGTCAAGAGATCAAGACCACCCTGGTCAACATGGTGAAACCCCGTCTCTACTAATAAAAAATACAAAACATTAGCTGGGCATGCTGGCGCGTGCCTGTAATCCCAGCTACTCAGGAGGTTGAGGCAGGAGAATTGCCTGAACCCAGGAGG